AGTTCTCACAAGCCAAAACGACTCAGCTCAGATCAGTAACTACAGTAAGGACCACCCTATCCAGCTCTCTTCCCAACCTATCACCATCGTTGAAGCTGCGAAGCATCTTGGAGTGTATTTAACACCCGACCAGTCCAACACCATCCACCTTCAGACCATCCTGAAAACCTTCCAACGTCGTGTTAATCTGCTATGCTTCATGGGACGGCATCTTGCCCCCACAGCCTTTCTACTTCTATATAAAGGTTTTGTCCTACCCGCCCTGGAACATGCCACCTCGGCCTGGTCCTATGCCATCACCAAAGCTGAGCTGGAGCGTTTAATTATTTTACAAGCCAGAGTAGTTAGGAAGTATTTGCTACGTAAAAAAAGTCAATGTACTTCCTCCGCGTCATCGAAATTGTCGCAGTTTGACTAGTGACTTGTCACTTGTTACTGACAACTCCATACGCTAAGCCATTCAAAACTTATTACACAGTATGATAGTCAGAAGACTAGAGTAACGTTCCAGGACAGTTGGACTGAGAGTTTTCATGCAGAGATGAAGTCCTCGTCGTCGCTGATGTCAATGGACGCAAAAATATCGTTCCGAAATATTTCAAGGAAGGTTGAAAGTTGGTCGCGCCTCATCTCAAACGCTTTGACTTTCTCCACAGGACAAGAGCTGCTATGCTTGTCGTCTGCTAGCTCTGGATGATTTCTACTTCACCACCAACGAAGCCAAGTAAGAATACACGATCGTTGCGAGGTCGGTTGATTACCGTCGGCGGACTCACCTCGATCTTGAAATGAACCTTTTTTTAGCCGTGGCATGCCCATTTATTTTAGCTGTGTGGTCACAGCTCATGCAGGTAAGTGTACTATCACGTCCAGCGCGCCCTCTTTTCAGCATCACTGGTATACCATGGTACGGCACCTGCGCGGGCATCACTAGCACTAAGTGTAGAGTCTACACAGTACGGCTCTTGCAGGTACAATCATGTACTGAGGGTCTCAGCCAGGGCAACAAATTTTATCGCTGTTGCAGGCATTTAGTTTGCTGACCCCTCGATGTTTCTCCAAGCGCTGCCACTTGTTCCACGAAGTCATTCTCACCCCAGGTAAGGTAAAACAGTGATGAGGCTTGAGTGAATGGCCATAAGCACGAGCAATGTGCAGGCTGCAACGCCTGACTGATCTCAGCGAGTCGAAATTACCATCGCAGCGACATCAGCGAAGAAATTGCGTCTAGTTCAAAAATTCCAGCTTCCAATAACAGAAAATAAAACTTTGCCGTCACCCTATACTGATGATTATCACCAATGTCCGATTCCTTGCCTCTGGTACGAGTGCTGGTGAGTAAATACCCCGTTTTATATCAAAAGTCAAACTGCGACAATTTCGATGACGCGGAGGAAGTAGGTAGATGCGAAACGAAATTCCAGTTAAATGCCCTTTGTGACTTAGAGTCCTTGCACTTTCACAGATAAGTATCAGCTCTTGTTACTCTATTTAAACTTATACTCCAGAACACCACCAACATTTTCACCTTTCACTGTTTTCAAGTCCAAGAAGACCAAAAAAACTTAACATCAATTATCACGATGTGCGGGTTTTTTTCTTCCCTCTTTCCAACAAAGCTGCAATGCTATGTAATTGCCTACCGCCTTCTCTTACCTCTATAACCAGCCTCCCCGAATTCAAGCATTCTCTCTATCAGCATTTTCGCCGATATATTCATTACACTGACGATATCCCAACTCCTTAATTCCCAGATTTTGTATTCCTCGATCTATTTCCTTAGCCTATCCTCGACTAACTGCTACCTTTACATAAAGTTGTCACTTCACTCTTCTTGCAGGAGATCCCCTCGACAGGCCCAAAGCCTTTGGCAAATCCTTAAATATAATAATTTTTACAAATATACAAATTGAAAATCTTGTAGGACGCATCACGCAGCTTCATAAATGTTCAGAGCATTTTCAGCAACTCTGCATGTTCTCTTGTTGCAGAATGCTGACTGGAAACAAAATTTCAAGTCTGCCGGCAGAAATTTTTGCCAACAATCATTTACTCAGTGCAATGTAAGTATGTTCACCAAATGTCCTTATGTTAGCATGTGGGTGTGAACAATCCCGCCAACGGTAATTTCAAGATAGTGCTCATAGCGAAGAGGAGTTTTCTCCTCCAATGCATGATGCAGGCTGAACAATATGACAAATAAACGTAAACGTAAGAAATTGATAAATGTATCGATATTCAAGGTGTTTTATTTGAAGAGAAGCAAGAAGGGGTGGTACAGCAGCATGATATGAAGCACCGCAGGTAACTCGCACAGCTCTACGGAACAAGGTAAACAATCTCTCCCTGGACTGTGCTGATAGGTGAGATGCGTAAACAGGGAAACAATACTCAAAGTCGGGCTGAATCACACTAAGCAGGTACTGGCGACGGGGAAATGCTGCCATTTGGCGGAAGGTGCGTCGCAACGTGCCTATCTTGCGTGACACCTTGCTGGTGAGGTGATCTACGTGTGGAACAAATGAGAGCTTGTTATCGATAAGGATACCAAGACAGCGAATTACACTCACTTCCCTTTTAAGGTAGTGCCGCCCAGCTCAACAAGAACGGGTCTTTGTACGTCAGGAGCATTCTTCGGCAAGATCCTCATGACCACGGTTTTGTCAACATTAACGCTCATGCCCAGTGATCTTAGTTCATTGTGTAGCTTAGCGAGAGCCGAGGACACGACATCGGCGCATACCATTGGATCTCGTGAGGAAGCGTACAAAGTCTTGTCATAGGCAAACATTAGGAGCTTTGCACCGCTCCCTGCAGGCATTGGCGGATATTGCTCGAAAAGGTGGCAGATTCTGCTCCAAAAGCAGTGAAATTGGCAGAACAATACAAACCTTATGGCGGGCAATTCCTCGAATTCTGCTCCATTTCTTTATCCATATACCAAACATCCATGACATGCAACTTACCAGAAAAAGTACCGAGTTCTGCCAATTTTTCTGCCGGTATTATCCGCATATGCCTACCTGGCACTATCCCGTACCTGTCCCGTACCGTACCATCAATAGGGTCCAGCGGATAATGCTCCGAAAATGTTCGTATAATGCTTATCATAATGCTCCGAAAACTACCTTGTAATGCTAATTATAATGCTTCAACAAGGGCTATAATGCTCTTGGCTTGGACCAAAAATAGAAGAAAGGCTGAACATTGTCAAACTTCCAGGAAAGGATGCACTTAGTAGATCTGCCTCTGAAGCTGCTACAATATATCTCACGAGCTCCACCACTTCTTAGCACTATAAGACATGATCGCGCCTCCATTGGCCGCTCTCCATTGCAACTTTGATTCCGGGCTGTAGCTGAATAGTAGGTGTATCAAATCTTTTCCCTTGCTCATCCATGTAGTGAGAGGTGAAACCATTGTTGCTGGTGATCATTTGGATGCTGGAAGCATATCATGGGAAGTGGTATTCCTGCCTGCAGACAAGCTGTCACTGCTTCCACTCTGTGAAAAATGTCTTCATCTGAAACAGCTCACGTGAGGCCAGTTCCTGGGAGACGATCTCAGATCGACATCCCTCCCATTTGCGGAAATCCT